TTTACTTCCTCCTGAGAGAGGGAAAAGGAGAATGAGCTGCATTACTCTGTCCTCCTCTGTAGCTTATTGCCGCTATCCCTCACCTTCTCCCCCTCCCCTCCTTCTGAATGCCAGACTCATGAATGGCTCAGGGGGGGAACCCCTCTGTTTCTGTCCCATGAGCAAGATTGTGGTGCTCGCCTGGGGTTTGTTTCAGTTTTTATACACGACCCCTAATGCCCACGTTTCAACAGATGTGCGGACAGTTGGGCCCAATGGTATTTATGTTTCAAGGCACTAAAAGGGATTGAAATGGAGGCCTGCTGCTCTGGGATGAAAGGTCGGACCGAGGCGTGCACACTTTTATGCTGCTCTAGATAAGATTTGCCATTAGGCTTGTTAAGACCAGTTGTTTGCGTGTTATATCCTTTGTTTTTTTACAGTGTTACATTTCAGTAGCATATATAGCACATGCTACCAGCTTAAAAAAAGTAGCACACTGATCATGGAGATTGTAGCATCAGTTAATCTGCAGATTGTTTTTCCTTTTGTCTATAAGATATCATAAAATAATAATCACAATTTTCCTGAACCTAAGATAACATCTTTAAATGGTTGGTTTGTCCGAAGCCCAAAATATTCAGTTTACAATGATATAGAAGTAGTGACATTTCAAGAAGCTGGAACGAGCAAATATTTAGCATTTTTGCTTGCAAAGTGACTCAAATACAACTAATCAATTAATTAACTTATCATTTCAGCTCTGGATGTATCTTGATATGCACAAAGATGGCTGCTATCTGGAAAGTGAGGAGAGCTTGACCTCAGACTTGATTGTACATTATTTGTCGATCTGTGTGTATTTATGTTCCTTTTAGATATAAAACATGTGAATCAAACCAAGAGCAGAAACAAAACCAGGTTCCTCTTGTTGTCTGTGGATAAGAGCAGAGACTGGCAAGAGCTGAAAAAGACTCTTATATTCTCCGCGGTCTTCTGCTACAAAGAAACTGGTTATCTGTCAACTTTTATGTGAAGTTGAAAGCCTTCACCCCAATCAGAAATCAACTCTTCATGAATAATATGGTGGTGCTTCCACCAGCACAGCCAATTATAAAATCTAACGCTCTGAGCTGATTTTTTTTATTTCTAGCTTAAAAAAAAAAAAAAAAAGAATACTTAAAATTACACTGAATGTCAATCTCCATTTCAAGTGCCCCCTTTGAAGTAAAAAAATAAAAAATAAAGCTAGAAAATGACAGCGGCAACAGGTACTCCTGATGTAAATGAAGTGTCGGTGCTTTGCATTGGGAAGCACAGATGGAGCTCACGTTAGAAACTCACGGCCGCCGCTGAAGTGCGTTTACTCTCCGCCTGCGCTTGCCGGAGTGTGTGTATGGTAATGTACCGTCATGGCTGTCTGTGGAGGAGTGTGGTGCTTGTTATTGTTGGATTTAACTGCACTCAGGCTGCACACAAAAAACACTCTGCTCCATCAATGCGTCTGTTGTATATTTCAATGCTGCAAAGTGTTCTTCCTCTTGTGTGTGTGTGTGTGTGTGTGTGTGTGTGTGTGTGTGTGTGTGTGTGTGTGTGTGTGTGTGTGTGTGTGTGTGTGTGTGTGTGTGTGTGTGTGTGTGCGCGTGCGCGCGCGCTGCAGGCAGCCTGTGTGTGTAGTGTCGGGCCCGTCTGCCGCTGATAAGCATCAACTCCATCAGCATGCGGCCTCTCGCTGAGCGCGTCCTGGATTTGCTCAAAACACACACGCGCATAAATACAACTAGAGGCAGTGCCAGCAGTATTTACTGAACCCACATGGCTCAGGCGGCTCAATGAATCATAAACATTCAACACACAAATATGTCTTCACATTGAGAGAGAGGCTGATTCCAGCCGTGTTGCATGTTGTACCGATGAATCACACACACAGAAGCACAGAGTGACAGGCCCTGTTGTAGCCATGTTGACTATCATCTTGTTTTATTCATAGGTCTTCCTCAGTGGGCTCATTCAGCCTCTACTTTTTTTTTTTTTCTCCCCCCCTACGGCCTTTGTTTTCTCCAACACTGTATCATGACCGACTCGGGCCGTAGAGCACGCGTGCTGCTCACTTTTAATGCCATTCGTCTCCATTTTCTATCTTTTGGAGGTCATTTGTCTACGTTTCCCCTCTGTGACCCAGGTTGTGATTATTTTTCCTTACGTTCCTCGGCTCCTTTACATAGTCTGTTTTTCATCATGTTCTAACCAATAGAATCTATGCTGCAATCTCGGTGTGTGTGTGTGTGTGTGTGTTTGTTTTAACCGCCATCTCTCTCTGTGTTTCAGAAGGCAGTGGAGGAGGAGGAGAGCCAGGTGAGGAAACCCTCAGCAGATCTCTGCTCCCCCAGCAGCAAGTTGAATGATGCCGACCCTGAAAAAAAGGTCAGTCGTCGGCTCCCTTCCTATCCAACCACCCCTCCATCACCTCCGACACCCCCACCTCTCTTTCCCCCCCCTCGTCTACACACAGGTCGGCCCGTCAGGGTCACCACCCCTCCCCACCCCACCCTGACTGACAGACACAACCCCTGCTCACCCATTCATAGCGGCACGCTTCTCCTCTCTGACCTGTCAGGAAATACACTCATACAGCGGCTGAAGGGCTTTGCTTCTTCACCTCCCCCTCCATCGCAGCACATACCGACTTTACATGCACACACTGAGGAAGAACCTCTTTATTATGATTATCTCTTTTCTCCAACATGTGCACACACGCAGACACACACAAACTCTCTTTCTCCCAGCTGATGCCTGACGGATGATCCCTCATCCACATGTATGCATGCATGCATATATTAGTTTTATTAGGATTTAGCACCATGTGCAGTACTGCACATTCCCTCCACCTCCTGCCGCTTCTCCCGTGTGTGTGTGTGTGTGTGTGTGTGTGTGTGTGTGTGTGTGTGTGTG